AGCCAGGATGGTCTCGATCTCCTGACCTCGTGATCCACCCGTCTCGGCCTCCCAAAGTGCTGGGATTACAGGCTTGAGCCACCGCGCCCGGCTAAAAAGTAAATTTATATATAGAAAGAAAAGTTATATGTGGCAAAATGTTAACAATTGAATCTAAGTGAAGCATATTTAGATAAATAGTGGTTCTGTTTTCAACTTTTCTTTCAGTTTGACATTTTTCAAACTATAAAGTTGGGGGGAATTTCGCACCAGACCATACTGGAATTCCTCACCAGACCATAATGGAATTCTTGTACATAACCCTTCCGAGTCACCACCTTAAGGTTACAAAAACAAAGAAGAAAAAGCAAGAGCCAGCCTCAAGGCTGATTAATGCTAGCACCCATTTCTCATTATTGAATATCATTATTATAAATTGCTCTGCTAGGAAACTCTTCTCTTTTTTTTTTTTTTTTTTTTGGAGATAGGGTCTCACTTTGTCACCCAGGCTGGAGTGCGGTGGCACAATCTCGGCTCACTGCAGCCATCTCTTGCCTCAGCCCCCCCAAGTAGCTGGGACTACAGGTGCATGTCACCATACCAGGCTAATTTTTGGTGTGTTTTTGTAGAGACTGGATTTTGCCATGTTGACCAAGCTGGTCTTGAACTCCTGGGCTCAAGTGATCTGCCCACCTTGGCCTTCCAAAGTGCTGGGATTACAGACGTGAGCCACCACACCTGGCACCAAGCTTGAATTTTCATTCTGCCATTGACTTGACATTTACCTGGGGTAAACCATAAGCAAGTCTTAATTTCTGGCTCCATCAGAGTTGTTTTTGTGCTCAACAATGCCATTGATGCGCATGGTATGTTGCCATGATTTGACCCTCAACTTCTAGCAGTATATCAGATATGAACTGAGGGTGAAATATATTTCTGAATAGCTAAATGAAGAAATGGGAAAAAATCTTCACCACAATCAGAGCAATTTTATTATTTTCATCGATCTGATCATAATTATGATTATCATCTTTAAAAAGCAGGAACTCCTACTTTTTCTTTATCAGTTAAATAACCCAGAGAGTACATCTGCCGTATCTCTAATAGAATCTTGTATAATATGTAATTGTAGGGAAACTGCTCTCATAGGAAAGTTTTCTGCTTTTTAAATACAAAAATACATAGAAATACATAAAATCTGATGATGAATATAAAAAAGTAACCAGTCTCATTGGAACAAGTGTTAACATTTTGGAATATGAAACATGTTTTATTAGTTTTGTGATGTACTGTTTTATAATTTTGACTTTTTTCATTAATTACTGTAAAATGGTATTATTGGAATGAAACTATATTTCCTGATGTGCTGATTTGTCTTATTTTTTTTCATACTTTCCCACTGGTGCTATTTTTATTTCCAATGGATATTTCTATATTACTGGTGAGGCATTTATAGTCCTCTAATGTTGATTAATATGTGAAAAGAAATTGTACCAATGTCACTAAATTATTCACTTTAAAATGGCTGTTTTTATGTTATGTGCATTTCATTTCAATAAAAAAAACTCTTATTAAAAAACCCCTGGCCCCTAAATTATGTGCCTGTGTGTCACAATCCCTATCACAATTTGCCCTCTCCCCAAAAATGATGATGAATTTGGTATGGGTGGAGTGGATATTTACAGTAGATATTTTGATATTAAAGCATTAATTTGAGATCTAAAAAATTTAAAACACCTAAGGTAAAATTTTTGTGAGGTTTACTATTGTTGTTTAATATGCAAATTTGTTTTCATTATTTAAAAAAATGTAGAAAGGGAAGAGATAGACAGATGCAGCAAACCACCATGGCACATGTATACCTATGTAACAAACCTGCACATTCTGCACATGTATCCCAGAACTTAAAGTATAATTAAAAATAAATACATAAATAAATAAATGATGTAATGTATAATAAACATAAAAGAAAAGGAAGAGATAGATCAGGCTGAGAACATGAGTATGGTTAACTGTTTTAAGTAGTTAAGGCTTAGGATGGAGTTTGGAAGAGATACCTAGTATTTTAATTTTGGTTTTGTTTTGATTCATTCCTCCCAGGTCCTCAGGATATAGTGAATGAGTCAAGAAATTATGGTAATCAAGGTAAATAACTGGATGCTGAAGATCCAGCTGTACTAATCTAGGACAGGCCAGGCAACCTAACCCATGACGTGAGTTATCATGAAAGTGAGGGTGTAAAGTAAGATTGCTCTAGGTTGTGCAAGACAAAGAGTACCTGACGTGTTGAGATACGTTTATATCACAGCTTATATGGAAATATATGTGAATAAACAGAAAACATACACACTTTTCCAAGAGACAGAAAAAGTGAAATAGCTGCTAGCTGAACCTCAGTTGAAAAGTTAAACTCGAGATGAGTAATGATCACACCAGGAGACATGCTGAGGGGCCACCATGTTCACATGTCTGGATTACAGCAATAATTTTTGAAGTAGTGTCTGAGCCTTCACCCTTGTCCTCTACAGTCTATTTTCAAACAAATCAGAGTGAGGCCATTACATTTAAATAAAATCATGTCGGTTCGCTACTGAAAATTCTCATCAACTTCTCATGTATCTCAGAGTAAAAACAAAACCACCCAAAAATGAAATACCTTTGTAATTACCTGTAAGAAGCTACATATTCTGGTCCTCTTAACTTTGAGCTAAACTCCTACTTCCTTTATCTTTACTCATTGCACTCAGGACGCTGGCTTCTCTGTTGTTTCTCAACCATGTCAGGCATGCTTCCACCTCAAGGTACTGGTGATTCTTATCTCCTTTACCTGAATGATTCTTACCTGACAAAGCTGCAGGACCTGGTCTCTCACCTCTTTCCCATCACTGCACAAACATGAGCTTCTTAATGATGCTTACTCAGATAACTCTAAAGTTACCAATCCTTTCTCCCTACATTCTTCATCTCCCTTACCTCTGTTTATTTACCATAGCATTTATTATAGTCTAATATACTGTACTATTTACTTATTAGGTTGGTGCAAAATTGCGGTTTTTGCCATTGAAAGTAATGGCAAGAACCGCAATTACTTTTACACCAGACTGATACTTATTATCTTTCTTATGTATCATCTGTTTTTCCCCATAGAATATAGTCTCTAAAAGGACTGACAGCTTTGATGTACATGGATGTATCCAAGAGTCTGAGAATAGTACTTGCCATACAGTTGATAGTAAAAAATATTCTTATTTTTGAAAAAAAAACTTTTAAGGAAAAGTAGTATAAATGTTACTATAGGTTGATTATCAAAAATTATTAGTAATATACTTGAATAACCGAAGCTTGGGAAATAGTTCTAATTGCTATTTTATGAGAATCATAATTACAGGCACCTCCTAAGTGCCTTTCTTTCTGATCCCAGCTGTTGTAATTTTTAACCCTCTATCTGTTTTATTCACATATGGGCTTTACATAACTTCATCTTCGCAATTTTGACTACCTTCTCTTTTATATGGCTCTCTGATATCCAACCCAATGCAAACAAACAATTTTTGATTTCCTACTTCTTACAAGGCACTGTGCAACAGGAAGGTATTTTTATCTTTATTTATGTATTATTTCAACAGCTTTTGGGGTACAAGAGGTTTTTGGTTACATGGATGAATTATATAGTTGTGAATTCTGTTTGTAATGCACCTGTCAGTCACCTGAGTAGTGTACATTGTACCCAATATGTAGTTTTTTTAATCCCTCCCCCTCCCTTTTCACCTCCTGCTTCTGAGTCATTACATCACTCTGTATGGATTTGCCTACTTATAGCTTAGCTTCCACTTGTAAGTCAGAACATACAGTTTTCGGTTTTCCACTCCTGACTTACTTAGAATAATGGCCTCCAGCTCTAACCAAGGTACTGCAAAAGACATTATTTCATTACTTTTTATGGCTGAGTGGTATTCCATGGTGTATATACACCACATTTTCTTTATCCACTCATTGGTTAATGGGCACTTAGGTTGGTCCCATATCTTTGCAATTGTGAATTCTGTTCTATAATCATACATGTGCAAGTGTCCTTTTCATATACAACAACTTATTTTGGGGTAGATACCCAGTAGCAGGATTACTGGATTGAATGGTGCATCTACTTTTAGTTCTTTAAGGAATCTTCGTACTGTTTTCCATGGAGGTTGTACTAATTTACATTCCCATCAGCAGCGTATAAGCATTTGCTTTTCACCATATCCATGCCAACATCTATCGTTTTTTTTGACTTTTTAATAACAGCCATTATTGTAGGAGTAAGATGGTATCTCACTGTAGTTTTAATTTGCACTTCCCTGATAATTAGTAATGTTGACCATTGTTTCATGTTTGTATATCTTCTTTTGAGAAATGTCTACGTATGTCCCTTGCTCACATTTTGATGGGATTTTTTTTTCTTACTGATTTGTTTGAGATCCTAGTAGATTCTGGGTATTAGTCCTTTGTTGGATGCATAGTTTGCAAATATTTTGTCTCATTCTGCGGGTTGTCTACTCTGATTATTTATTTTGCTGTGCAGAAGCTTTTTAGTTTCATGAAGTCCCATTTATTTATTTTCATTTTTGTTGCATTTGCTTTTGGAGTATTAGTTATAAATTCTTTGCATAGGCTAATGTCCAGAAGAGTTCTTCTAATGTAATCTTGTGATTTTTATGGTTTCAGTTCTTAGATTTAAGTCTTTGACCCATCTAGAGTTGATTTTTGTGTAAGGCGAGAGATTGGGATCCAGTTTCATTCTTCTACATGTGGCTTGCCAGTCTTTTCAGCATCATTTATTAAATAGGTTTATGTTTTTGCATGCTTCAACGAAGATCAGTTGGATGTTAAGTATTTGGCTTTTTTATGGCGGGGGGTTAATGTTCTATTTTAAATGCTTGGATAGCTTCAATATCCAGGTTGTGGCAAAATCAGGACACGTGTAAAATATGTTACATTAGATTCCCCAAAGGTACTAAAAACTACAGTGAAATTAACCCTTCTATTACTGGAAGTGTACGACATAAATAATATAAAATTAAAAGGTGACACTGGTTTCCTGAGATACAATATACTCTGTACAACCAGGGCCCACAGGTCCAGGCTGCAGCATGCGGCAACAGGAAGCAAAGACTGCCATTTTGTTCTGGAGGACCTGGTACTAAAAATCAGCCAGTAATGCCCCTCCGCCCTCTCAGACACCACACGCTGCCTACATAACTAGAGCTCTGGAAATAGTAAACAAGAGAGTGATTTCCGTGGGGGAAATTTTAAATAAGATGCACATGGGACAAGCCTAGAAAGTCTGTCAAGTTAAATTTGGTACATAATTGTGTTCACTCCATATCCAAACACAGCATGTGTGTGATTGGTTGGTCTCTCCTGCTGCTGTCTGAGTATGGCTTGCAGGTATTCTGAGGGCCACTATGTCACTGCCTGTTGCTGGAGTTTGTACTACCCTGACCCACCACCCCACCACCACCCACCACACCACACCACCACACCACCACACGCCCACCGGCACACGGCCACCACCCAGCCAACACCGCCACCCCACCACCACCACCACCACACACACACACCACCACCCCACCACCCCCACCGCACACCACCACCACCGCCACCCACCCACCCCCACCCCAACCCACCCGACCACCACCGCACCCACCCACCAACCACCCACCACCCACACCCACCACCACACAACGCCCGCACCACCCCACGCTGCTGGTACCGTCAGTTGTGGTTTCCACAGCCCCGAGAACCATACCGCTGCTGCCAGTAAATTTCTTTGGGCTGGGCCACCTTGATCTTACACTTGCTTCCAGTGATAGTATGGAACTTTTTCTCCAGAACCTTCTTCACAGATTTTTTTTTTTTTAAGGTAATAAACACAAAACCTTGTCTTTTGTTAAACTTTGGATCCAATGAATTTCAATGGCCTCAGTCTCCTCAAACTCGCCAAAGTACTCCCTGATCTTTTCCTCAGTGGCTTCAGGATTCAGACCCTCCATGAAGTCATGTTTCCGGAATTGGTGGGTTCTTGGTCTCACTGACTTTAAGAATGAAGCTGCAGACCCTCGTGGTGAGTGTTACAGTTCTTAAAGATGGTGTGTCTGGAGTTTCTTCCTTCTGGTAGGTCCGTGGTCTTCCTCATTTCCGGAGTGAAGCTGCAGACCTTCCTGGTGAGTGTTAACAGCTCTTAAAGGCGGCACCTCTGGAGTTGTTCATGCCTTCCGGAGGGTTCGTGGTCTCGCTGGCCTCAGAAGTGAAACTGCAGACCTTAGCCCTGAGCGTTACAGTTCAGAAAGGTGGCGCGTCTGCAGTTGTTCATTCCTTCAGATGTGTCTGGAGTTGTTCGTTCCCGCAGGTGGGTTCGTAGTCTCGCTGGCTTCAGGAGTAAAGCTGTAGACCTTCGCGGTGAGTGTTACAGCTCATAAAGGTGACGCGTCTGGAGTTGTTCATTCCTCCCCGTGGGATCATGGTCTCGCTGTCCTCAGAAGTGAAGCTGCAGACCTTGGCAGTGAGGACTACAATTCATAAAGGTGGCACGTCCGGAGTTGTTCGTTTCTTCGGATGTTTAAATGTATCTGGGGTTGTTCGTTCCTGCCGGTGGGGCTCGTAGTCTCACTGGCTTCAGGAGTGAAGCTGCAGACCTTTTGCAGTGAGGGTTACAGTTCATAAAGTTGGCGCGTAAGGAACTGTTTGTCCCTCCTGGTGGGTTCCGGGTCTCGCTGGCTTCAGGAGTAAAGCTGCAGACCTTCACAGGGAATGTTACAGCTCATAAAGGCTGCCGACCCAAAGGGTGAGCAACAGCAATATTTACTACAAAGAACAAAAAACCAAAGTCCCTACACCCTCCGAAAGGCACTCTACCGGGTTGCAACTGCTGCCACTGGTGCCCTGCTTTTATTCCCTTATCTGGCCCCACCCACATCCTGCTGATTGGTTCATTTTACAGAGAGCTGATTGGTCTGTTTTACAGAGAGCTGATTGGTCTGTTTTGACAGGGTGCTGATTGGTGCATTTACAGTCCTTTAGCTAGACCCAAAAGTTCTCCAAGTCCCCACTAGATTAGCTAGACACAAAGGGCTGATTGGTGTGTTTACAAACCTTTAGCTAGACACAGAGTGCTGATTGGTGTGTTTACAATCCTTTAGCTGGACACAAAAGTTCTCCAAGTCCCCACTTGATTACCTAGACATAGAGCACTGATTGGTGCATTTACAAACCTTTCGCTAGACAGAAAAGTTCTCCAAGTCCCCACCATCCCAGAAGCCCAGCGGGCTTCACCTCTCACTGGCAGTCGCCATGGGACTCTGTGGCACCCTGCCAGGACACCCCCGCAGCCCAGAGGGATCTCGACCCTGATCAAGCCCAGCAGGCGCCTACCTGCCTCGCCGAATGCGGGGCCGCAGAGCCCACGCCCACCAGAGAACCCGCGCCTGCCCGCGACTGCCGCGGGCGGCCCCGGTTCCCGCCGGCGCCTCTCCCTCCACACCTCCTGGCGAGCAGAGGGACCTGGCTCCTGCCTTGGCCAGCCCCCGAGGGGCCCCCACAGTGCAGCGGCAGGCTGAAGGGCTCCTCAAGTGCGGCCAGAGCGGACGCCAAGGCCGAGAAGGTGCCGAGAGCGAGCGAGGGCTGCTGGCACGTTGTCACCTCTCATTCATAGCCATGGCCTTTTCAGGGTCAATGACACGGCCATCCAGCCTGTACTCCTGGTCTAGGACCTTCTGCACATTGGTTGCATCTTTGAACAGGATAAACCCAAACCCTCTTGCCCATCCAATGTTGGGATCCATTGTTTTTGTACAGTCAATGACCTCTCCAAATTTAGTAAAATGGTCTTTTAAATCTTTTTTGCTGGTATCCCAGCTCAGGCCACCAACGAGTATTTTTCCTGCATCCTCCTCGTTTTTGCTGGCGTTGATCTGTTCGTCCTCAGTGATATATTTTTTTATTTTTATTTTTATTTTTTTTTGAGACGGAGTCTCGTTCTGTCGCCCAGGCTGGAGTGCAGTGGCAAGAGCTCGGCTCACTGCAAGCTCCGCCTCCCGGGTTCCCGCTATTCTCCTGCCTCAGCCTCCCGAGTAGCTGGGACTACAGGCGCGGTCCTCGGCGAGTTCTGATTTTGATTCCCGCTCGAGGGCGCTGCGGCGGCACCGACGACTCGCCTTCGGGGAGGCCTCGGTTCTCGGTGGCTCCAGTCGTCTCTGAGGACAGGATAGGCCGAGTCGTGGCGGCTACTTGCCCACTTGTCCCCACCCTCCGGGGAAAGCGCCTTGGGCTCTGCTGTGCTCCAGCTCGGACTGCTGAGGTCTGGCCTCGTCAGCTGACTGAGCCGCTTCAACTGCAACCCCTCCTTCCCAGCTGCCTCCGCAGAGAACCCACTTACCCACAAACCAGCTCCCGCCGGCGCCTTGCCGCCGCCTCTTTTTTGTTTTCTGTTTTTGTTTTTTGAGATGGGGTCTCGCTGTGTTGCCCAGGCTGGAGTGCAGTGACACGTAATCTCAGCTCACTGCTGCCTCCGCCTCCCAGGTTCAGGTGATTCTTCTGCCTCAGCCTCCCGAGTAGCTGGGATTACCAGTGTTGGCCACCACATACAGCTAATTTTTGTGTTCTTAGTAGAGAAGGCATTTCGCCATCTTGGCTCTGCTGGTCTCGAACTCCTGGCTTCAAGTGGTCCGCCCGCCTGGGCCTCTCAAAGTGTTGGGATTACAAGTGTGAGGCACGTTGCCTGGACATTAGGCTTTACTTCTGAGTTCTCTTTTTTCTATTCCACTGGTTCATGTGTCTACTTTTATAGCAGTACCATGCTGTTTTGGTAACTATAGACTTAGAGTAAAATTTTAGGTCTAATTGTGTGATGCCTCCAGATTTGTTCTTCGTGCTTAGGATTGTGTTGGCTATCCAAGCTCTTTTTTGGTTCCGTATGAATTTTAGGATTGTTTTTTCTAGTTCTGTGAAAAAATGATGGTATTTTGATGGAAATTGCATTGAATCTGTGGATCACTTTGGGCAGTATGGTCATTTTCACAATATTGTTTATTCCAATCCATGAGCATTGGATGTGTTTCAATTTGTTTGTGTCATCTATGATTTCTTTCAGCAGTGTTTTGTAGTTCTCCTTGTGGAGCTCTTTCACTTCCTTGGTTAAGTATATTCCTAGGTATTTATTTGTGCAGCGGTTGTAAAAGGGTTATTGATTTGACTGTCAGCTTGGTTGTTATTAGTGTATAGCAGTGCTACTGAATTGTGTACATTGATTTTGTAATCTAAGAGTACTGAATTTGTTTATCAAGTCTAGGAGTCTTTCAGAGGGGTCTTCAGAGTCTTCTAGGTGTACAGTCATATTGGTGGCAAACAGTGATAGTTTGACGTCCTCATCAATTTGGAGGCCTTTTATTTCTTTCTCTAGCCTGATTGCTCTGGCTAGGACTTCTAGTACCATGTTGAATAGAAATAATGAAAGTGGGTATCCTTGTCTTGTTATAGTTCTCAAGAGGAATGCTTTCAGCTTTTCCCCTTCGGTATGACGTTGGCTGTGGCTTTGTCCTATGTGGCTTTTATTATTTTGAGGTTGTCTTTTCTATGCTTAGTTTGTTAAGGGTTTTTATCATAAAGGAATGCAGGATTTTATTGAATGCTTTTTCTGCATCTATTGAGATGACCGTACAGTTTTTGTTTTTAATTCTAATTATGTGATGTTTCACATTTATTGGCTTGCTTATGTTAAACCATCCCTGCATCCCCGGGATGAAACACACTTGATCATGATGTATTATCTTTTTATATATTTCTTTTTTTTTTCTTTTTGAGACAGAGTCTCATTCTGTCACCCAGGCTGGAGTGCAGTGACATGATCTCAGCTCACCACAACCTCCACCTCCTGGGTTCAAGCGATTCTGCTGCCTCAGCCTCCAGAGTAGCTGGGATAACAGGCACGTGCCACCACACCTGGCTAATTACTGTATTTTTAGTAGAGATGGGGCTTTGCCTTGTAGACTAGGCTGGTCTCCAACTCCTGACCTCAAGTGATCCGCCTGCCTCGGCCTCCCAAAGTGCTGGGATTACAGGCATGAGCCACTGCGCCCAGCATTGTACTATCTTTTTGATTGGCTGTTGGATTCAGTTAACTAGTATTTTGTTAAGGATTTTTATGTCTATATTCATCAGGGATATTGGTCTGTAGTACTGGTCTTTTAAAAATTATATTCTTTCCTGGTTTGGGTATCAGGGTGATATTGGCTTCATAGAATCATTTAGGGAGGATTCCCTGTTTTTCAGTTTTTGAATAGTTTCAGTAGGATTAGCATCAATTCTTTGAATGAGTGATAGAATTCAGCTGTAAATTCATCTGGTCGTAGGCTTTTTTTGGTTGGCTTTTTTTTTTTTTAATTACAGATTCAGTTTTGCTGCTTTTTATTGGTCTGTTTAGGGTTTCCATTTCTTCTTGATTTAATCTAGGAAGGTTGTATTTTCTATGAATTTATCCATTTCCTCTAGGTTTTCTAGTTTGTGTACTTAGAGGTGTTCCTAGTAGTCTCAAATGATTTTGTGTATTTCTGTGGTATCTATTGTAATGTTTCCATTCTCATTTCTTTTTTTTCCCCGGAGGATAAACTATTTATATTTTATTTGTTACTATATAACATATTGACTGCTTCAAAAAGCAATCAAACCCAAACCAAACAAAAACCTAGAAATTCAGAATTTGACAGATACAAATGTGTGACGGTTGCCTTATAAACAGCTTGGGAAGCTATATTTCTATATCAACAATGTCAAATTTGCAAAAGACACAAAACTAGAAAAAACAGTTAACATTATTTCGATAGATCATATTATTCTCTCTTTTTTTTATTATTATACTTTAAGTTCTAGGGTACATGTGCACAACATGCAGGCTCATTACATAGATATACGTGTGCCATGCTGGCCCACTGTATCTATCAACCCATCATTTACATTAGGTATTTCTCCCAATCCTCCCGCCCCCCACTCCATGACAGGCCCCAGTGTGTGGTGTTCCCCACTCTGTGTCCAAGCGTTCTCATTGTTAAATTCCCACCTACGAGTGAGAACATGTGGTGTTTGGTTTTCTGTCCTTATGATAGTTTGCTCAGAATGATAGTTTCCAGCTGAATCCATGTCCCTGCAAAGGACATGAACTCATCCTTTCTTATGGCTGCCTAGTATTCCATGGTGTATATGTGCCACATTTTCTTAATCCAGTTTATCATTGATGGACATTTGGAATGGTTCCAAGTCTTTGCTATTGTGAATAGTGCCGCAATAAACATACGTGTGCATGTGTCTCTATAGCAGCATGATTTATCATCCTTTGGGTATATACCTAGTAATGAAATCGCTGGGTCAAATGGTATTTCTAGCTCTAGATCCTTGAGGAATCGCCACACTGTCTTGCACAATGGCTGAACTAGTTTACATTCCCACCAACAGTGTAAAAGCATTCCTATTTCTCCATATTCTCTCCAGCATCTGTTGTTTCCTGACTTTTTAATGATTTCCATTCTAACTGGTGTGAGATGGTATCTCATTGTGGTTTTGATTTGCATTTCTCTGATGACCAGTGATGATGAGCATTTTTT